TCACATAGACTGACTCACATAGCATCACTCCACACACATACAATCGTGCGGTGGTGGGGTCTGAGCCATACATAGAAGATGCTCAGCCCCCGTACACACATACACAGATGAATGGGGGAGGAGAGACGAAGAGGTGGGGGAGGTAGACAGCACCGAAAGTCACCGAGATAGAATCTGATAGGTCACCGATATGGTAGTCCAAAATGTCATCCAACAAGATTAAAATGTCGAGGACCATAGGTCACCAATGTCGGGGATACAGAGTCCAAATGTAATCGGTGTCCGAACTGTGATGTCGCCAAGTATCAACCCCAACGATCTCCAAGTCTCCAATCTGGTAAGTACCACAGTCTCATACCACCGAAGTCCAATACTGATCTCTGTCCAACTAGTATAAGTCTCCAATCTGAAGAAGAAGAAGAAGAAGAAGAAGAAGAAGAAGAAGAAGAAGAAGAAGAAGGAAAAGAAGAAGGAGCCGAGGAGGAGAGAGAGGGAGAGAGGGGACTGGCGAGGGGAGGGAGGAGAGAGGCCTCCAACCCCGATACCTCAGGCGGCTATGGCCGCCGGCACACCCAGTCGCCACTGCTGCTGCTCGCCCGCTGCTGCGCTAATGCTGCGCTGCTGCTCCTCGCTGCTCCTGCGCTAAACTTAGCGCCAGTGCTGTCTCGTGCTGTACCATACCGTACCGGTAGAATGCCGGTAGGTCGATGCCTCGAAGTGAGGCCGGACCGGTTCTTTATACCGGTGGGCAGAGGCAGGCCTCACTGCTGCGAGGCCTGGCCGTGCCCTGAACCGTCCAGATGGACGGTTCAGCCCCAACCGGCGGGCGGCAGCCTCAAGAGCGCCGCCAGGCCCAAACGGTAATGTCGTTTGGGCCTGCCCGTCGGGTCTGGTCCAAGGTGAGGCCTTTATGGCCTGTAGTACCCCAAGGTCGGGCCTTTAGGCCCTGGTGTGTCCCTCTAGCCCTAAGTCGGGTCCGGTAGGACCCGTGTGGCGTCGAAGATGTAAAAGTATACGGGAACCTACTTAACGAGGTTATGAAAGCATCCCCGGTAAGTAGGTCCCGGTGTCGAAGGCTCCATCTATTGGTGGGGAGCTACACCAGCGTCCCTGTACGATGATGTGAATGTATCTGCTGGAAATCGGGTCCAGCATCCCTGTGCAATGTTGTGAATGTCTCTGTTGGAAATCGGGTCCAGCATCCCTATGCAGAGATATAGATATCTCCAACTACCTATGTACACACTGCAATGAACCCAGATCGTGAAGACAGTTGTCAACAATGCAAGTCCAAATGAGTGTCAACCAGCTGATGATTATCAATAGTCGTATTCGTGTCCAGATACCCAAGAGAAGAGAAGACATACACAGACGAGGTAGATGAGAGGGAGGAAAGACTTAGAGTGGGGAAGATAGAAACAATGCCCACTGCTTCTTCGGGCTCCCTCCGCAATCACCACCTCAATAATCAATAATCTGAACGAGTATCTGAAGTAACCTCAATGTGCCACGTGGCACGTCTAATCAGTCCCTCATCTATGCTGGAGCAATGTCGACATGAAGACAACCAGGTAAGTATCCACGATCTCTCCACAGTCTTGATCTCCTCCTGAATGACGATAATCAGAACAGCAACACAAATCACATAGCTTCGCCTCGTCAACCAGTAGTACACATGGCAGCAGCCACGTCAGCGACAGCGAATGGCAGCTGCCACGTCAGCATGCCAAGAAGACAGGTGCAAGCCAGCCACCATGCCGGACCAGCAGCACGTCACCGTAGACACAATGCCAGCGCTCAGCCAGCTTCGCAGCGTCGTCATCAACGCGCGAAGACAGCATCGACGTAAGACAGAATGAATCTCAAGGCCACGAAAGTCAGCGCTTATGTAGCATTGACTCGGGGTCTGGGCCCCGGATGCTACCACCCTCAGCCATCCAGATTTCTATGCAAACTAAGGCCCAGATTGGTCTGAAACCGAATTCCCTCCGGCCTGGATGCTTGTCTGGGTACCTGCGCACAACAAGTGAGTGTACCCAACCAAGGGCCTGGGTGCGGTAGCTTTGACTCTACAGTTGACTTTGACCCTTGAATTTCCTGTGTGCAGCGTTCGGTCACACAGCCAAACGTGACAGACTCAGGCCTGGGCGTGTCTTGGTCACACAGCCCAGCGCAGACCAACTCAGGTCTGCGTTGCCTGGGGCTGAGTTCTGGGCCCCAGGCTACTTCTGAACAGAGTTACTGCAACGCGTTAAGCAATATAAGTCAGATGATGGGAGACCCTATCCATCTGATCTACAGTGTCTCCAACTCAAACTCAGGCATCAAGCCCAATCATATCTACCCTAGATGTGATGTATGTTACAGTGATGTGATGTATGTCAGCTGGAAACGGGTCCAGCGTCCCTACACAGTGGTGTGAAACTATGTCCTATCCATCTGATCTACCATATCTCCAACACAAATTGAGGCATCAGGCCCAATCTTATCTAACCTTGCTGTGATGTGATGTGTATTACCAAGATGTGATGTATGTAACAGTGTGGCTGTTTGTATGAATGGACATGTGATTGTAGTAGTATCTGATACGAAAAACCCTTACGCCCCAGTGGCCGACCTTCCTCATATTGCCCGGGGTGCGGACTTGTACAGTGCCATAACAATGTGAAGTGTAATTGTACAAGTGTGGAGCTGATATGGGGTGGCTTCCGCCATCCCCTGTTCCCTCCCTCCCAAAACCCATGAATGCTGATAATGTACAGGATGGAGTTGAGATTGAGTTTTTGTGGATGCTGTTTCAGCCTGAGTCTTTATCTCCACTATGTCTACTAGGGTCAAGATCCAGACTTTGTGAGTTTAAGTACTGACTGTGCCTGTTTCCCCTTCCGCCCTGCTTAACTGGCCTGGTGTCGGGTATCCCTGGCCGGCAATCGAGATGGAAGAACAAGGTTGGAGAGACAGAAGGGGCAATGCCAGGAAGGTGGGGGAGGCGGAGAGGGAGGAGGGAGGAGAGTTAATGGTGGGCAATCAGGGTAGGTCGCGGAAGTGAGCAAGGGGGGGAAGCTGTCTCTTATACACATCTAGATGTGTATAAGAGACAGCGTGTACCCTGCTCGCCCTTGAGCGCGTGGGCGCTTGCCTGCCAGTAGTGCAGCAGCGCTTGCGCATCATGTAGGAAGTGCC